CTTTTTTTACTTGAGTAGCTTCAGGCATTTAACTTAATCTGTTTATGCCACAGTTTTTAATCTGTGAAATGGGGATAATTATAATACGACTTATAGAAATATTGAAAAGATTAAACAATTTAGCATCAGTAAAGTAGAACAGGACCTGCCACATTAGTCCTGATAATTAGTCATTACAGTTATGATGAATGATGATGACCAGTGATAAGGACAGTGAATTCGGTGTTGAACACTTCCTTACACAGTAATGATAGTATAGACTGGCCTAAACTTTATAGAGGGAAGTTTACCTGTATAGCATATAGAGCCATAAATAGTTTTCTTTAATATAGTAAAGTCATTTCTAAGCATTTATCCTAAGGAAATTATCACAGAGGCAAATATTTCTTTCCAAGGATGTTCATTTTAGCACTATTTACAGATAATCATTAAAAATGATGTCTGAAAATGGCAATATAATAATCATTCAGTGGAATATTATGTAATAAATAATAAATAACACTTTTGAATATTACATAGTATGTGAAAAAGTAGAATATAAAAAGTTCATGTGGTCGCACCCTGCTTACTTTACACTGTAACTTTTATTAGTTGTATATGCACAAAATTATATATATAATAATATTTTATCTATGCAAGTCTAAAAATCCATCAAACTTATTGACTTCAAATGGCATTATTAAAGGCGATTTTGTTGTTTATTTTATATATTTATGTTTTCTAAGGTTTTTATTGGTGAGAATCAATTAGTTTCCAAAAAAAAAAAAAAAAAAAAGCTGCTAAAGTCTCCTTAAGTTCTTTATGTGTGATTAACAGATGTTCAAGCTAGAACAGTCTGGTAGTCTCCTACTCATCTTTCTTTTCCTGACAATCGCATGCTCAATTAGATGCGTTTACAACTTCATGCACAACTGATAATCTTTTGTCATAAATGTGACTTTAATTATCTGGTCAGCAACTATGATACCAATTTAGTAGCCAAACATAAATATAACTCATCTCCACTTTCAAGCTACTTAGTAACTAATATTTACCTATAATTTATTGAGGATATACTACGTGCCAGACATTGTTAATCATTTTGCATGCATTATTTACTTTAATCTTTACAATTATCTTGTGAGTTAGGTATTATATTCTTCTCATATGGAGGAAGAGGGACTCAGGTTCGAAGAGTAGAGTTGATGCCAAATCTGTCTGACTCAGTGACTGCACTTTCTCTCCTGTGTATGCTGCCTCTCAATATGCCTTATGCATATCTGACTTCCTTGCTGTCATTACTGGGAAGAAAAACAAAATCTATTCTAAAGTATAAACTAAGATTTATTGATGTCTGGAAAGTTAGAATAAAATAACCTGGAATTTAACAACTCTGGCTAATATATAAACTCGGCAACACTATAATAATTAGTTGTAGACATTTTACTAAAGACAATAAATTTAAAAAAAAAAGATTTTAAAAGATTAATACAATAAGGAAATGTTTAACAAATCATAGAATTGTTTTTTACAAGAAAAAATCTTTAAAAAGAATCTGTTTCATATGGAGATTAATTTCTTAACAATGGAAATGATACTTGTTTTGTCTTCAAGGTGATGTAGGGATTTTTTTTTCCTTATTTTATGATTTTGATTTTCCATGATACTTTCTAGTTATTTTCAGGCCATTTCTAATGTAGGTCCTGGTTACCTTACTGGACAATCAGGGCAGGAGAAATGAAATGTCTTTCATATATGAGTATTGAACTAAAGTAGAAATTTTCTGTTCCTAGCTCCACCACTAATTTGCTATAATTGCCCACAGAGCATAAGGATTAGATAACACTTCCTTATTTGTGTAATAAAAGCGTACTTTATAATTTCAAACATGCCTTTTAACTATATCATTCTATGATTCCAGGTAGGCCAGAACATTGTTAGGTATACAGTATAAATATTTATAGAACAGTACATATCTTTCAGTTACTTCCTAATCTGATCTATTCCTCACGGTCTTGCTGAAACCTTACTTCCTTCGTGAAGACTCCCTTGAGTAGTCAAACTTCCTGAACTAAAAAATAGTTAGCACAGTAATTACATGTTATCTTTAAACTCTGCTTAATAATTTCACATAAGAAAGTCCTTGTTTTAAACTAAGCTGTAAATCACCTTGACAGAGACAGGTTATTGACCTCTAATTTTATACATTCCTTGGGTTCAATCACAGCACTGGTCTCACAAAGGAAGGTAAGCAAATTCTTGTTAAATGCTGAGTAAATTTGAATCAGCAACTAAATTCCTAATTTCCAATGTCAGGACATTCCTTTTATCAGAGTGAGGTTCTGCAGACTGCAATCCAGGTTCTCTGCACCTGATGCTGTTTGATCATCATCATCATCACAATCATCATCATCTTTATGATTAAAAAGCATTTGCTCAATTTTTCTGGAATGAATGGCAGCAGCTCAAGATCTCTCTTCAGGTAAGATGAAAAACAGCTGGCTATCATTTTCTGTATAATAACCTTTCATATTTCCAGATCCTAAGATCATTAACTTTAAAAGAGCCTCAAATATTGTATAAGGTTGGTTGCTACAAAATAAGGAATAAGAGGAATGTCAGAGAACATGTTATGGAGAGTGGAGGGATTGTGTGTTTTTCAGCTTGCTACACCTCTCCTCTCTTAGTATAAAGCAGCAGGCAAGTGCAGGAGAAAATGAGCTGTCAGTCTCTTGGTGCACATCATTTGTCATGGCTCCTCTTATGTCTGGAAAGGCAGGGACACCCCTGTTATCATGAAGAGCTTGTCATGGGACCAGTAGTATGTACGCACAGAGTGCACTTTTGTTCTTGTCATTTAATGTAGTGAAGAATGGTCGTACTGCAGGATTGCAATTTTGGCAATGCTCTTGGCAGTTGACGTTAAAATAATATCCCCAGATATAGACTTAAAGAAAATAGATGTTTTTTTCTCATTCTCTAAGGAGGCAGGGGATAAATTTAAAACATTGTTTTGTCAGTCATTGTTCACACTTAAGAATTCACCTAATATCCTTAGTATAGCCCTAGAAGAGGACTCAATTTTGATTAAAGAATTAGAGACCACCCTGAAAAATATGCATGTGATTTCCATATTGAACTCCATGCTTCTAGGATTTATCATTTTGTGTCGTTACTTAGACATCTATTCACAAAGAGGTAGCTGTTTCTGGAAGATGGCACTGAAAAAGTAAAGATCAGTTTGAATGAAAATCCAAATCTGGTTACCATCCTCCTCTGAATAGAAGTGAAACCACATACCTACAGCTTTTAAAATTGCCTGACTTTTCTTGTTTTGGCCAAAGTCTGAGCTACATATTTCTTGACTGAATTTTAGTTTTTGTTCTTTCTTGGTCTCCTTTTCTTTTTTTTTTTTCTTTTTTTTTTTTTATTTATTTATGATAGGCACACAGTGAGAGAGAGAGAGAGAGGCAGAGACACAGGCAGAGGGAGAAGCAGGCTCCATGCACCGGGAGCCCGACGTGGGATTCGATCCTGGGTCTCCAGGATCGCGCCCTGGGCCAAAGGCAGGCGCTAAACCACTGCGCCACCCAGGGATCCCTCTTGGTCTCCTTTTCATATGACTCAAGAGCATATCTCTCTCTCTCTCTCTCTCTCTCTCTCTCTCTCTCTCTCTCTCTCTTTGAAATCTTTCTTGATTTTTGCTTTTTAGCCCAAGGAATTCAATTAAATTCATCTGGCAGATGGAAAGCTGAGGCCCATAAGGGCAGTAACAAATACTAAAAATAATGAGAAGGATGTAAAAATATCCTGATTTGGGGTCAGGGGGATTTAATAGTACTCAGAGGTTTTAATTAATTAATTAATTAATTAATTCTTTTCTTAGTTGTCATTCCTCTTCTTTTTCTAATTCCCTTTGCTCAGGCCCTGAAAAATATTCCTTGGCCAGAATGCTAAAGCTGAAGCAAATAGATTCCTCTAGTAACTGTTAACTGCTCCTGTAATCAGAACTGATCATGAACAGTGGTCGTGAGGGCCAGATTTTTGGGGGAAAGTCTAATTTCAGAGAGGTTCTATTGTCTCAAAAATGTATAAATGCAATTTATAGCATATAGCATGCAAACTGATTCAGGGACTGGAAAACTAAGGTTACTCTTCATGGTAAGTATTAGTCAATTGATTAGTCAGTCTGTATATCTGTGTGTGTGCATATACATATATATGCTTATATGTATATATGTATGTTTAAAGTAAACTATATGTATATGCATAAATACAAACAGATGATTCTCATTCTCATTAGTTCCATTCTATCGAGTTGTTGCTCCCAGGGGAAATACAGAGTTAGGTTTCTGCAAACCTCTTGTCACAACAATCTTGTCAACAGATCAATACAAAGCCCTGTTTTATGTGTATTTCTCTTTATTTTTAAAGCTTTTATTTATTTATTCATGAGACACAGAGAGAGAGAAAGAGGCAGAGACATAGGCAGAGGGAGAAGCAGGCTCCATGCAGGGAGCCTGATGTGGGACTCGATCCCGGGTCTCCGGGATCACACCCTGGGCCGAAGGCAGCGCTAAACCGCTGAGCCACCCGGGCTGCCCCTGTATTTCTGTTTAAAGATACCTTATTTAATATATATTGCCAAATAATTAACATTAAACTCAAGACCAACAACACTATAACTCACCTTTGAATGAAGGTTGTCTAACACACGTATTTCTCTTTAAGACACGTCACAGCTTTCTTGTATTTAGTATCACTTGATGGCACTTCAGCACTACCCTTGGGGATCATTTTAAACAGCAAAATCAACAAAAAGTACAAAAATTCAAAAAAATGTGATAGCTAATGCACCATGAAAAAGACACTTGTTGACAATATGAGAACTGAAACAAAAAGGCAGAGTGTGGCCTCGTTTGACTTCAGCTGGAAATGTGCATCAGGTGACTCAAATTTTTCTTCCCTCTCTGTGTTGAGGGAAGAAAAATGAATGATCATGAAAACCCTGCAAATATTTTCTCTTTATGGAACGCTTCATGAATTTGTGTGTCATCCTGTGCAGGAGCATGCTAATCTCCATATCATTTCAAAATTAGTATATGTGCTGCCGAAGCAAGCATATATAAAATCTCACAAGTATTGGCTTTATGGTTATAAATACATTCTAGCAAGTAGGCAAATTTACAATTTGGAATCCACAAATAATGAGAATCGATTGTGTGTGTATATACTTGTCTTATCTAAATTAACTGCAGAGGAGAAATTTGCAAAAACTTAACAAATCTTAAAAGATTAAATGAGCAATATTAGCAATTTCTTGAGCAGTCCTAAAATGATTGGAGATTCAGCTTGACAATTTACCTAATGTCTCTATTTACCATTGTTGATTAAAGGCGCTGATTCTTAGAAGTGCAAAACTGAGACTTTCAGTTCCCCAAAAGATGCATTTCTAATCTTTCCACAAGATTTTGTTGTTCACTTATCAATGTTATGTTCTAGCCTTGTGATTCCCAAAAAGAGAGATCTGATGGTGTCCACATACCCTACCTTTCTTGCTTCTATGTTTTCTTGACATTTAGTACACTCTCTACCGTATTACATGTTGGAGAAGCACCACTGTTACATATACAACATTGTTTATGCTTATGAAATTTCATTTAAAAAGGGGAAACAATATCTAAGTTAAAAGCCAGTCAAGTGTGACTATCATCAACAGATGATGTTAGTGTTTACCTATATAGTAGTTAGGTCTAATCAAAAAGTTGAATTTGAGGACCAATTTTCAGAACTTAACATATTTATCAGTAGAACAGCTTTCTTTCACTACAGAGAGTTTGAATTTCCTAGAATTCATATAAATGGGACCATATAACAGGCACTTTTTTCCTCTGGCTTCTTCATTCAGAATAATTATTTAGAAATACATCCATGTGTTTGCATGTAGCAACAGCTTATTGTTTTATATTGAAAGACATTTTTCCATTTTAGGAATACACCACAATTTACTTATCCATTTGCCATTTGGGTTCTTTTAATATTTGGCTATTACAAATGAAACTGCTTTGAAAACTTGAGTTCCAGTCATTTGTAAACATATACCTTCATTTCTCTTGGATAAATACCTAGGAGTGGAATGATTAGGTCATGTATTAGATGTATATTTAGCTTTTTAAAAGCCTGATGAACTGTTTCTAAAGTGGTTGCACCATTTTGTATTCCCATCGATGTCTAAGAGAAACAGTTGTATAAGACATCCTCTTCAGTATTTAATATGATAGATCTTTTAAATTTTAGACTGTCTAATAATATGTGTTGGTATCAAATTGTGGTCTTAATTTATATTCTCCTAAGGACTAATTATGGTGAATATCTTTTCATGTACTTATTTGCAATCTGTAAATCTCCTTTTCTGAAGCATCTTTTAAATTTTTGTCCACTTTATTGTATTATTGCAATATATTTTTGTGAAATCTTATTGGGTTTTGAGAGTTTTTTTAACTTGTGGATATATGTTATCTACACATACTCACAGACATACACATATTTCCTGTGGGGTGAGGAGGTCCAAATTCATTCTTTCACATCATGATATATAATTGACTCTGTGTAATTATTTTACACATTTCTAGAATCAGTGCTAGTATTTTACTGAAGCTTTTTGAATCTAAGGATATTGTTCTGTAGTTTCCTCCCCTTTTTTATTGCCTTTATTTGGTTGATATGATAATTATGTTCTCATATAATGAGATCAGAAGTAATCCCTTATTTTCTATATTTTTCAAGAGCTTTTGAAGGATTTACATTAATTCTTTAAGTATTTGCTAGAGTTCATTCATGAAGGGCTTCTGGGCTTCTCACTTTTGTGAGACATTTTCTAAATTACTAATTCAAATTTTTACTCATTATATGTATTCTGATTTTCCATTCTTCCTAAGTCTATTTCAGTAATTTGGGTCTTTCTAGAACTAAAAAAAAAAAAAAAATTCACCTAAATAATCTAATTCATTGTCATATAATACAAGTATTTTCTTGTAATACTTTTTATTTCTGTAAGGTTGGCAGCAATTTCTACTCTTTTATTTCTCATGTTAGTAATTCTTGTCTTCTCTCTGGTCAATATGGCTACAGATGTTCCAATTTTGTTGATCTTTTAAAAGAATTGACATTTGGATTCACTGATTTTTCTCTACCATTTTTCTATATTTCATTTATTTACTGGCTATCTAAATGGCTTTCTGTTTTTTTTTTTTATTATTGTAAGCACTGCTTCTCCCATTTTCTGGAAAAAATATATTTTTATCTTCAACTTTACCCTAGGTACTTTGCCATGGCTATTTAGACAAGAGAAACCAGATGTGGTTCCCAATCTATGGATCTTGAATTTTAGATAGAGGATAATTAATCATATTATCAGACCAAAAGATGCTTAGTTAAAGCTGATAGTAGTTTTAAGAAAAGAAAAAAAAGAAATAATTCTAGAGAAGATATAAAAAAAAATGACCTGATTTAGAGAGAGAATAAAGATTATCTCCTAGTGGAGGTAAAGAGAGGAAGAAGTTAAGATTAGACTTTAGCAGGTGGTGTAAGAGCATAGATTAGGCAACTGTGTATAATAATCATAATAATAACAATAATAACAACAATGATATGTAGCCCTTATTGTTTGCTGGGCATTATTTTAAGAGCTTCATATAACAATCTATTTAAACATTCCAACAAACCTAGACAGTTTACAATTTGTTTAACAGATGAGGCATAAAAATATGTGTGTGTGTGTGTGTGTGTGTGTGTGTTGTGTGTGATTATATGGAGCTCAGCAAGATTGTGGGGAATTGAGAGAGCACAAGACAAGAGAATCGAGTAGAATTGGTGTAAGCACTTTTGATGGCTCCTTTGAGGCTGATGAAGTCAGATTTATAATAATATCAGTAGGAGTTTTGTGGGGTACTTGGCCACTTGGGTGATAACAGGGAAAGAAGAAAGTGGGCTGCATGAGAGATGAGGTTTTGCTTACGAGGTGTGATTAAAAGACAGAAGAGCAAAGGAGTTTATGGTATGGCCAACAACATTACTGAAATAATGCATGATAAGAAACTGGAAAAAAAGACTGGATTGGAGATTAGCAGAAATGAAGGAGTCAGTGGATTCCCTTTTAGCTGATCTGGAGCCCCTACAGAATCCTTGAAGATCTAGGAATATGATTCTTTATATAATACAAGCCTGTGCTGTGCTTCGGCTTAACCTCATAAAAATACTATCAATGTGCTTGAACTCCAGAAAACTGTGCTTGTTCTCAGTCTATAAATCATGACTGAGCTGCTTCTCTTAAAGTGCCAATGATAATCTCAGTGATATCCAATCTCCAGAAGTTTGTGCTTTGTAAGACCTATAAAGCTGAATCCAATAAATCTATTCACGATTAAGATACTTTTTTGTATTCATTAGACTTTCACTTTAATTAAAGGTTTATTTCTTTGTGTGGGTTTTTTTTTTTAATTCTCTGTGTGGTTTTTAGAAAACATGGAAGTTGAAGCTATAAATCTAAACCTTAAATAACAAGCCTTTCCTTAGGCTTATATATTGACAAAAATTATTACTGAGATAGCTTCAATATTAATAATAACTATAAATAAACAGGTGAAAACAAGTCCACCCGGGGCTCCGGGCAACCTAATCTCAGAAGACACCTCTATTTTCAGCATCAGTGACCCATCCTTACTAAGATATCTAGAAAAATGTTTGGGGACAAGTGGGGAAAGAGAGAAACTGAGACCCTCAGGCAGAATGGTACTGAAAGGAAAAATGTGCACGGTTTTACGATGTCCTACTCTTCAGATTTTCTTAGGCTCACCAAATCAGTGTGAGGAAGAACATTCCTTGCTGTACATTACTGTGTAATCAAAGTTATTTACTTGCACATTTTGGGGATTGTAAATGATTCTGACCTTTGCTAAACTATTATGCACAGAAAGGAAAACTGTCCCTTTAAAACTTGCCTCTTGATGTTAATAAATTAGGGACCTCTCACAGTTCCTTGCCAGACTCCATTTGTTGTAGTGTTGAATTGAAGTTTCCAGGTGAAATGAACAGCTGCCAAGCTAGCCTTTCAAGAAGCTGCCTTTGGGAACATAATACTTTATTACCCGTATTGTGCCATTCTACACTGAGTAGTAGTTAAAATAATGAGAGGTCTGACTAAGTGATCTATTTCAAGGTCTATTTTCTCCTTAGCTAGAGAAGCACCTTTAGACCATTCCATCTGTTCTTCCTCAGGGCACAAGACGCAAGTCAGTTGGCTGGAACTAAAGTCTTTCACCTGTTTTTTGTTTTTGTTTTTGTTTTTTTTTTAACTGAACTTATAAACTGAATTCAGTCTCTGTTTATCTAAAACTGAGGTTTTGGCTTCGCTGGAATCACATCTTTCACTAGTCAAGAATATTTCACAACTGTTTTGAGTTTAAAAGTTTGCCAGTTGGGGATCCCTGGGTGGCTCAATGGTTTGGTCCCTGCCTTCAGCCCAGGGCGTGATACTGGAGTCCCAGGATCTAGTCCTGCATTGGGCTCCCTACATGGAGCCTGCTTCTCCCTCTGCCTTGTCTCTACCTCTCTGTGTGTGTGTGTCTCTCATAAATACACAAATTAAAAAAAATCTTTAAAAAAATAAAAATAAATAAAAGTTTACCAGTTTCAAAAAAAGGGGGATGCCTGGGTGGCTCAGCGGTTGAGCATCTGCCTTTGGCTCAGGGTGTGATCCCCGGGTCCTGGGATCAAGTCCTACATCGGGCTCCCTGCAGGAAGCCTGCTTCTCCCTCTATGTCTCTTCCTCTCTCTGTGTGTGTCTCTCATGAATAAATAAATAAAATCTTTAAAAAAAAAAGTTTATCAGTTTCCTGGGCCCACTAATCAAGGGCAGTTAGTTCTTTTTTTTTTTTTTTTAATTAACCCCTTCAAACTTTAGCCCCTGGTTTATGACAGAGCAAAACTTACAATTAGTTTAGTTCTATTTCTTGCTGGCAGAGCATAATTTCCTTTTAAAAGAGTTTTGGGGAAAGATGCAATGATCTTCAAAGTTGGCTTGAGCATCAAATGGCTTTCATTAAGCAACAGTTTGAGTTGAGAA